GAACTCAGTGCTAGTTGTAAAATATGATTAGATATATATTATACTGAATTTTTTTAAAAACACTCTTCTGGTTCGCTATGCTTGTAAATGAACACAGACTAGAGATTCAATTCAAGAAAGTTCAAAAGATACGAAAGATTAATAACATTCCAACGGTCGGGTCCCGACCAAAACGTGTGCGCAGAACAGACTTTACATGGTCTATGACATGGTCTTTAAGTTTTTCGGAAAAAATCCTTAGATTTCCTTAGATTTTTTCTCTTCCTTAGATTTTCCTTTTGGACCATAGAATTTCCTTAGAAAAGGAAATTTCCTTGAAAATGGAAGCACTGTGCCATATTATAGACGGCCAACAATATTGAATCTCAGAGCAAGCGAAAACTCGAGCGAAAACGCGGATAGAGTCGTAGGATTTTTACTCGTACTAAAATTCCCTCACTGAGCGTCAGTTTAATTTACAGTTTAAACATGAACGAATAGACACACATGCATGCGTTGAAACATCATTTATATATACCAACTTTATAATACATGCATGGTCCATAACTCTAACTTGTTTGTATTTTTGTCATTTTAATTGAGTGAAAGGTTTATATTATCACGCGCTATAAAAGCTTTTTTACCAGGTTTTTTATAAAATATTTCGTGTGAGAAAGGATCAATATTAAAGAACTGTCTGTATTAAAGTGATGCTATTAAAAATACCAACTTCTAACGATAATTGAAAATTATCCTTTGCACTTCAAGAGTAGCTAAGTCGGTAAAAACAAGGAAGCCAATCAACTGTTGTTACTTTAATATTTTGAATTTTACTTTAATGCGCTGGTAAAATCCTAAAAAAGTGCTGGCAAAATGGCTAAAAAGTGCTCAAAAAGTCGGCTCAAAATCTCAAAATAGTGCTCAAAAAGTGCTAAAATTGTGAACAGTTACCTCTAAGATTTTCGTAAATTTTTTAAAATCAGCATTTTTAAAATCTGTTTCCACGTCTTTCTCCATATATGGAACAAACTTCCGTATATGGAGTTGTTTACGACAAAAAAAAAAAAACTCGAAAAAGTCAGCGTTCTAATTTTTTAACTGTAATGTCATATGCAGCTGTACGGCTTTTCTTTTGGAGTTATACCTAAATTATATATAAAATAATAGTATAATACCCGTCAATTTTTAAACCTTACTTCGAACTGTATGTTTAGTTAATCGAGGTACGAAATCGAATTCTATAATCGCTGACTTTTTGTTGCTCAAAATTCGCTCGAAATGTGAAATATTGCTCAAATGTTGCCCAAAGTGCGAAAAAGTGCTCAACGTTGCTCAACATGCAAAATGGTGCTCCAAACAAGAAAAAGTGCTCAAAAAGTGCTCAGCGCAATCGGGAAAGGCCTACTAATAATGAAAAATATGACCTTAGAAATAACGGAATTAATTTTCAACTGGATAAACCTAAGACTAATTTCCTCAAAAAAAGTATTAGCTACTCAGGGGCAAAATGCTGGAATAATTTGCCAAATGAGATTAAGGCAAAAGAAATGACGATGGGACACAATATTTTGTATATATTCTCTTAGACTTTAACTGTGTGATAATTTATATTATATTATATTTTAGATGTAATTTTTATTAAACTTTGTAAATATTAGTTTAAACGGCCTCTTGAAAAACGGATCATAGGTGTTCTGAAGAGCTACCGTTTTAAAATATTTGTAAATAATAATAATAAAGTGATATTTCCTTTCCTGTTCATTAATACTGAAAAATTTGTATTTTCCGATGTATTTTTGTACGACACGACTTTGTTTATCTGATTGTCTCGCTTTATGAAACATATAAACCTTTATATTTTTCGCTGTGTAATATAAATAAACTCTGTATCGTCTATGAAGAACAAATTTTGCACTCGCTCGTTCGTTTAATTTGCGAAAACAGATTATAACGCGTGCGTAAATACCACACGTAAGTATTTCCCATGAAAAAATCTCTATATACTATCCGGTTATCCGGTTATCCGGTTATCCAATTATCCGGTTATCCGGTTATCCGGTTATCCGCTACCCGGGTTTTCTACCATGCCTAACGCTTGAATGCAAATGGTAATACAACAATGTCAACAACGTGGGCTGTATTGCATTGTGGGTAAAAGAAGAAACTAGACCCAGACTGCGAAAAATTCGCGCACTTTTCTATTTGTAGCAGATCTGCTACACTGCCGCTTAAAGGCTTAAAGGGTTAATTGTTATATTTCGTGTTCTTTCCGAAAGGCGCAACGATGAAATTGCTGACTGTAATTGTATCGAGTGTCTTCGTTTTAATTCTGGCAATAATTCTGGCAATAATTTTGGGATTTCGTGCGATGAATACATTCATAAGTCCACCTGTTGCCACGCACGAATGGTGGGGTCCGTCCAAGGAAGCTCCTGCCAGTCTACCGAACATCAGCGATATAAATATCGAGGAAATGGCTCCTATTCAATTCGAGGATGACAAGCTGGCAGATTTGAGCTGGCGTTTGGCAAATACAAGATATTTTCGTTCGCTGGAGAATACAAACTGGGAATATGGTAGCAATATCGCAGAATTGAAAGATTTTGTGAGGTGGCTACAGCATATGGACAGCTTGTTTTTGGCACATATCAGTGGCATATATAGATCAGTTTTTGGAAAAGAGATCTGTTGTGATGCATGATGGGATTCTATGTGTCTGTAATCAATTTTCATCCCCCCCCCCCTGAATTCACATTCTGAGAAAACCATAGATATCTATGGAGAAAACTTGTAGTGGATTATTTACAATCAAACAACTGCAGAAAATTGCAGGAATTGAACCCCTAGATTACAGCGATGAAAGTCCCACCACTGTGCCGCAGTATAGGAAGACAACTGTAGGGACACTCAGCGTCAAAAAGTGTCCGCATTGTTTACTGGCTGCCAACCTAATTAACAAATTGGCAGCCAGTAAACGGCAGCAGTTCACTATAAAATTGTATTACAGAGTAAATGGTTTTGA